TATAAGGGATTCATATTTGTTTTGGCATATTTAAAGTTTCACAAAGCAGAAACCAGTATGAAATTCTGACAATGGATATAATTAACCCAATTATGAACCTGAAGTTAAAAATTGTCAAGGGAGGAGTCAAGATGGCAGTGTGGGAAGATGTGGAGTTAGCGTCTCCCCACAACTAGGGCATCTACTGGCCGCTGGTGGGGGACTCTGACCCCCAAGGAGATGGGAGGAACCCTGAAGTGAACCGGTAGGACTAGGGGGACCCAGCGGGGAGGAGAAGTGGAGGTCAGACAAGATCAGCGCCCCTGAGGCCAGGGAGATCAGGAGAGGCAGGAGGGAGGGACTCTCTGGGAAGAGCAGGAGAGGAGCAGAGGTCGATCACCTGGCCCACTCAGGCAGGGGAGGCTGCTGAGCTCCCAAGCTGCTTCCTTCCCTATCTAAAGCCCCACCTAGGCCGCGTGGGTTCTGGGGGCATGGGAAGGAGGCCGGGGAGATCAGGAGTGACAGGCTGGAGGGGCCATCCAGGAGGAGCGGGAGAGGAACGGAGGGCAACTGCCCCACCCACTTGGGCCAGGGGAGCCTGCTGAGCTCCCAGGCCACATGGGTCCTTGGGGGCATAGGAGGGAAGCTGGGGAGATCAGGGGAGGCAGGTGGGAGGGGCCCTCTCAGACCCCAGACTGGAGGAGCAGAAGAGGAGAGGAGGGCGTTTGCCCTGTCCTCTTGAGCCCAGGAAGCCTGCTAGTGCCCAGGTGAGGTCCCCTGCCCTCTGAGACCAGGCTGGGGGGCAGGCCTGGGCCCCTTCTGTTCCTTGAGCCTAAGCCCCATCCCCCACAGCCCCCAGCACCTTTTCCAGCCCTGTGGGTCCTGAGCATTGGCCCCGCCCACCACCCAAACCTCGCCCTTGCTTAAGACCCACTCTCCACAGCTAAGGCCACCCGCCCCTCGCCGCCATTTTCCCTTTTCTTCCTCCTCTTTCTTACTATTGTGGTACTGATGTACCTTCCGGTTGTTGATTCATCTATATTTTTATTTTCACATTCTAACATATCTGTTAGCTTCCCAGTCTAATTTTATTTTTTACTTTGTTATTTTTCTCTCTCTCTTTTAAAGTTATTTTTGGCTACATTGGGTCTTTGTTGCTGCATGTGGCTTTCTCTAGCTACGGGAGCGGGGGCTGCTCTTCATTGTGGTGCACGGGCTTCTCATTGTCGTGGCTTCTCTTGTTGCAGAGCACGGGCTCTAGGCCCACGGGCTTCAGTAGTTGTGGCTCATGGGCTCTAGAGCGCAGGATCAGTAGATGTGGGGCACGGGCTTTGTTGCTCCACGGCATGTGGGATCCTCCCGGACCAGGGCTCAAACCCATGTTCCCCTGCATTGGCAGGCGGATTCTTAACCACTGCACCACTAGGGAAGCCTCTCTCTCTCTCTCTTTTTTTGCCACCCCACCTGGCTTGTGGGATCTTGATTCACAAGCCTGGGTTCGGGGGGAAGCTCCTGCAGTGGGAGCTCCAAGTCCGAACCACTGGACTAACGGAGAACCTCAGACCTCAGGGAATATTCACTGGAGTGAGGTCTCACAGAGTTCCTCATCTCAGCACCAAGATCCAGCCCTACCCAATAACCTACAAACTCCAGTGCTGGAAGCCTCCGGTCAAACAACCAGTAAAACAGGAACACAATTCCACTCATTAAAAAAAAAAAAAAAAAGAGAGACGGCAAAAAAAATATGTCACAGATGAAGGAGCAAGGTAAAAACCTACAAGACCAAATAAATGAAGAGGAAATAGGAAATCTACCTGAAAAAGAATTCAGAGTAATGACAGTATAGATGATCCAGAATCTCAGAAATAGAATGGAAGCACAGGTTGAGAAAATACAAGAAATGTTTAACAAAGATCTAGAAGAACTAAAGAACAAACAGAGATGAACAACACAATAACAAATAAAAAGTACACTAGAAGGAATCAATAACAGAATAACCGAGGCAGAAGAACGAATAAGTGAGCTGGAGGACAAAATGGTGGAAATAACTTCCGAGGAGCAAAATTAAAAAAAAAGAATGAGAAGAATTGAAGACAATCTCAGAGACCTCTGGGACAGCACTAAACACACCAACATTCGAGTTATAGGGGTCCCAGAAGAAGAGAAAAAGAAAGGGTCTGAGAAAATATTTGAAGAGATTATAGTGGAAAACTTCCCTAACATGGGAAAGGGAAGAGTCACCCAAGTCCAGGAAGCACTGAGAGTCCCATACAGGAACACCACACCAAGACACATATTAATCAAACAAAAATTAAATTCAAAGAAAAAATATTAAAAGCAGCAAGGGAAAAACAAAAAAATAACATACAAAGGAATCCCCATAAGGTTATCGGCTGATTTTTCAGTGGAAACTCTGCAGGCCAGAAGGGAGTGGCAGGATATACTTAAAGTGATGAAAGAGAAAAATCTACAACCAAGATTACTCTACCCAGCAAGGATCTCATGCAGATTTGATGGAGAAGTCAAAAGTTTTTCAGACAAACAAAAGCTAAGAGAATTCAGCACCACCAAACCAGCTTTACAACAAATGCTAAAGGAACTTCTCTAAGTGGGAAACACAAGAGAAGAAAAAGACCCACAAAAACAAACCCAAAACAATTAGAAAATGGTAATAGGAACATACGTATCAATAATCACCTTGAATGTAAATGGATTAAATGCCCCAACCAAAAGACACAGACTGGCTGAAAGGATACAAAAACAAGACCCATATATATGCTGTCTACAGAGACCCACATCAGACCTAGGGACACATACAGACTGAAAGTGAAGGGATGGAAAAAGATATTCCATGCAAATGGAAATCAAAAGAAAGCTGGAGTAGCAATACTCATATCAGATAAAATAGACTTTAAAATAAAGACTGCTACAAGAGATAGGGAAGGACACTACATAATGATCAAAGGATCAATCCAAGAAGATATAACAATTATAAATGTTTATGCACCCAACATAGGAGCACCGCAATACATAAGGCAAATGCTAACAACCATGAAAGGAGAAATTGACAGTAACACAATAATAGTAGGGGACTGTAACACCCCACTTACACCAATGGACAGATCATCCAAACAGAAAATAAATAAGGAAACACAAGCTTTAAATGACACAATAAACCAGATAGATCTAATAGATATTTATAGAACATTCCACCCCAAAGTGGCAGAATACACTTTCTTCTCAAGTGCACATACAACATTTCCCAAGATAGATCACATTTTGGGTCACAAATCAAGCCTCAGAAACTTTAAGAAAATTGAAATCGTATCAAGCATCTTTTCTGACCACAACGCTAAGAGATTGTAAATCAATTACAGGAAAAAAACTGTAAAAAACACAAATACACGGAGGCTAAACAGTGTGCTAAAAAATAACCAAGAGATTACTGAAGAAATCAAAGAAAAAAAATACATAAAAACAAATGACAATGAAAACATGATGACCCAAAACCTATGGGACACAGCAAAAGCAGTTTAAGAGGGAAGTTTATAGCAATTCAATCTCACCTCAAGAAACAAGAAAAATCTCAAATAAACAATCTAACCCTACACTTAAAACAACTAGAGAAAGAAGAACAAAGAAAACCCAAAGTCAGTAGAAGGAAAGAAATCAAGATAAGAGCAGAAATAAATGAAATAGAAAGGAAGAAAACAATAGCAAAGATCAATAAAACTAAAAGCTGGTTCTTTGAGAAGATAAACAAAATTGATAAACCCTTAGCCAGACTCATCAAGAAAAAAAGGGAGAGGACGCAAATCAATAAAATTAGAAATGAAAAAGGAGAAATCACAACTGACACTGCAGAAATACAAAGGATTATAAGAGACTACTACAAACAACTATATGCCAATAAAATGGACAACCATGAAGAAATGGACAAATTCTTGGAAAGGTACAATTTTCCAAGACTGAACCAGGAAGAATTAGAAAATATAAACAGACCTATCACAAGTAAAGAAATTGAAACCGTAATTAAAAATCTTCCAACAAACAAAAGTCCAGGACCAGATGGCTTCCCAGGCGAATTCTATCAAACATTTAGAGAAGAGCTTAACACCTATTCTTCTCAAACCCTTCCAAAAAACTGCAGAGGGAGAAACACTCCCAAATTCATTCTATGAAGCCACCATCACACTGATACCAAAACCAGACAAAGATAGTACAGAAAAAGAAAATTATAGACCAATATCACTGATGAATATAGATGCAAAAATCCTCAACAAAATACTAGCCAACAGAATCCAACAGCACATTAAAAGGATCACACACCATGATGAAGCAGGATTTATCCCAGGGATGCAAGGATTCTTCAATATATGCAAATCAATCAATGTGATACCCCACATTAACAAATTAAGGAATAAAAACCATATGATCATCTCAACAGATGCAGTAAAAGCTTTTGACAAAATTCAAAACCCATTTATGATAAAAACTCTCCAGAAAATGGGCATAGCGGGAACCTACCTTAACATAATAAAGGCCATATATGACAAACCCACAGGGAGCATCATACTCAATGGCGAAAAACTGAAAGCATTTCCACTAGGATCAGAAACAAGACAAGGATGTCCACTCTTGCCACTCCTATTCAACACAGTTTTGGAAGTTCTAGCCACAGCAATCAGAGAAGAAAAAGAAATAAAAGGGATACAAATTGGAAAAGAAGAAGTAAAACTGTCACTATTTGCTGATGACATGATACTATACATAGAAAATCCTAAAGAGGTCACCAGAAAACTACTAGAACTAATCAATGAATTTGGTAAGGTTGCAGGATACAAAATTAATGCACAGAAATCTCTGGCATTCCTATACACCAACAACAAAAAATCAGAAAGAGAAATTAAGGAAACACTCCCATTTACCACTGCAACAAAAAGAATAAAATACCTAGGAATAAACCTGCCTCAAGAGTCAAAAGACTTGTACTGTGCTTCCCTGGTGGCGCAGTGGTTGAGAGTCCGCCTGCCGATGCAGGGGACGCAGGTTCGTGCCCTGGTCCGGGAGGATCCCACGCACTGCGGAGCGGCTAGGCCCATGAGCCATGGCCACTGAGCCTGTGTGTCCAGAGCCTGTGCTCCGCAACGGGAGAGGCTACAACAGTGAGAGGCCCGCGTACTGAAATTTAAAAAAAAAAACAAAAAAAGAAAACAAAAAGACTTGTACTCAGAAAACTATAAAACACTGATGAAAAAAATGAAAGATGACATAACAGATGGAGAAATATACCACGTTCTTGGATTGGAAGAATCAGTATTGTGAAAATGACTATACTCCCTAAAGCAATCTACGGATTCAGTGCAATCCTTAGCAAACTTCCAATGGCATTCTTCACAGAATCAGAACAACAAAATCTTACAATTCGTACGGAAACACAAAAGACCCCGAACAGCCAAAGCAATCCTGAGAAAGAAAAACAGAGTTGGAGGAATCAGGCTCCCCAACTTCAAACTATACCACAAAGCTACAGTCATCAGCTACAGTGTGGTACTGGCACAAAAACAGAAATATAGATCAATGGTGCAGGATAGAATGCCCAAAGATAAACCCACGCACATGTGGGCACCTAATTTACGACAAAGGAGGCAAGAACATACAGTGGAGAAATGACAGCCTCTTCAATAAGTGGTGTTGGGAAAACCAGACAGCTACATGTAAAAGAATGAAATTAGAACACTACCTAACACCATACACAAAAATAAACTCCAAATGGAGTAAACACTTAAATGTAAGACCAGAAAATATAAAACCTTTAGAGGAAAACATAGGAAAAACACTCTTTGACATAAACCACAGCAAGATCTTTCTTGATTCACTTCCTGGAGTAACAGCAATAAAAACAAAAATAAACAAATGGGACTTAATTAAACTTAAAAGCTTTTGCACAGCAAAGGAAACCATAAATAAGACAAAAAGACAACCCTCAGAATGGGAGAAAATATTTGCAAATGAAACAACAGACAAAGGATTAATCTCCAAAATATACAAACAGCTCATGGAACTCAATATCAAAAAAACAAACAACCCAGTTAAAAAATGGGCATTAGACCTAAATAGACATTTCACCATAGAAGACATACAGATGGCCAAGAGGCACATGAAAAGATGCTCAACATCACTAATTGTTAGAGAAATGCAAAACAAAACTACAATGAGGTATCACCTCATGCTGGTCAGAATGGCCATTATCAAAAAAGTTAGAAACAATAAATGCTGGAAAGGGTGTGGTGAAATGGGAACCCTCCTACACTGTTGGTGGGAATATAAACTGATACAACCACTATGGGAAACAGTATGGAGGTTCCTTAAAAAACTAAAAATAGAACTAGCATATGACCCAGCAATCCCATTGCTGGGTATACACCCTGAGAAAACCATAATTCAAAAAGAGTCATGTACCACAATGTTCACTGCAGCTCTATTTACAATAGCCAGGACATGGAAGCAACCTAAGTGTCCATCGACAGATGAATGGATAAAGAAGATGTGGCACATATATACAATGGAATATTACTCGCCATAAAGAGAAATGAAATTGAGTTATTTGTAGTGAGGTGAATGGATCTAGAGTCTGTCATACACAGTGAAGTAAGCCAGAAAGAGAAAAACAAATACCGTATGCTAATGCATATATATGGAATTAAAAAAAAAAATGGTACTGATGAACCTAGTTGCAGGGCAGGAATAAAGAGGTAGGCATAGAGAATGAACTTGATGACATGGGGTGGGAGGGCAAAGCTGGGGAGAAGTGAAAGTAGCATCGACATATATACACTACCTAATATAAAATAGTTGGCTGGTGGGAAGCAGCGGTATGGCACAGGGAGATCGGCTCGGTGCTTTGAGATGACCTAGAGGGGTGGGATAGGGAGGATGGGAGGGAGGCTCAAGAGGGAGGGGATATGGGGACGTGTGTATCCATATGGCTGATTCGCTTTGTTATGCAACAGAAAATAACACAGTATTGTGAAGCAATTATACTCCAATAAAGATCTATTAAAAAAATGTCTTAAAAAGGCTGGACCCCAGTTCACTGTTATCTATTTTCACAATAGCACAGTTATTTTTTTTTTTTTTTACGGTACGCGGGCCTCTCACTGTTGTGGCCTCTCCCGTTGTGGAGCACAGGCTCCGGACGCGCAGGCTCAGCGGCCATGGCTCACGGGCCCAGCCACTCTGTGGCATGTGGGATCTTCCCGGACCGGGGCACGAACCCGTGTCCCCTGCAACGGCAGGCGGACTCTCAACCACTGCGCCACCAGGGAAGCCCCCACAGTTATGATTTTAAAACACATCAACACTAAACACTTCCAATTAAAAAGATTACCTCTAACACACCATTGTAAAGCAATTATACTCCAATAAAGATGTTAAAAAAAAAAGATTACTGTTCACACACTGCTTTTTTAGGATGAAAAATAATCGTTTTTATTCCCCAGGGACTTCCTTCTTTCTCCAAGCAGCTTATTGTTTATTAACTATACTATACAAATATAGTATCATATATGGTATGGTACAGTAATATCTTGCGATCAATATTTTATCCACAACTACCAAACTCTGTGTACCCTTGCATCTACCCCTTGAATGCTTAATTCTTTTTTTTTTCTTTCTTTTTTTTTTTTTGCGGTACGCGGGCCTCTCACTGTTGTGGCCTTTCCCGTTGCGGAGCACAGGCTCCGGACGCGCAGGCTCAGCGGCCATAGCTCACTGGCCCAGCCGCTCTGCGGCAGGCGAGATCCTCCCGGACCGGGGCACGAACCCGCATCCCCTGCATCGGCAGGCGGACTCTCAACCACTGCGCCACCAAGGAAGCCCCTTGAATGCTTAATTCTAAATCCCTTCAGTTAGAGACAAGGTATATCATATTCTTTACTGCATTTCCTAGATTGGAACACAAGAGACACTCAAATGTCTAAATGGGTGGATGAATGAATGCCTAGCATGCCTAGCACAGTACATATCAAGCAGAATTGGTGCTCAAACACTTGCAAATGAGATGATAAACAAAAGCACATAAACAACTTGCAAGGGGAAGTCCAGTCCAATTCAGCCTAATCACCTATAGTGTCAGGAAAGAGAAAGTCTATAGTGACAAACAGTATATTAAGATTTAATTACTGAACATGAATGGAATAGGTGTTTTTGAGTGAGACTGGATAACACCAGAGAACAAGGAGTTCGGTTTTTTGAGCACTTCAGCAGCAACCACTTAGGTGGAAATGTTGTTATAATTAAAGACAATATTCTTTGTTCATTATTGAAGATCAAGAACCTTTCCTAGACCTCATTTTACCTACATGAACTACCATTTACTCATTTCAAAACTTTTTTCTTAATCAATTAGTTTTAATTTTAATTTTTAAAAGTTAAATTTTTTCTTTTTGCGGTACGCGGGCCCCTCACCGCCGTGGCCTCCCCCGCCGCGGAGCACAGGCTCCGGACGCGCAGGCCCAGCGGCCATGGCTCACGGGCCCAGGCGCTCCGCGGCACGCGGGATCCCCCCGGACCGGGGCACGAACCTACGCCCCCCGCATCGGCAGGCGGACCCCCAACCACTGCGCCACCAGGGAAGCCCTAAAAGTTAAATTTTTAATTTAACTAGTTCAAGACTCTAGGAACAGTTTGCCTGGAATACTCTGCACGCCCCACCCCAACTCCATGCGCCTTTAGTCTTCATGTAAATGTTGTGCTTAGAGACAGGTCTCCTAGAAGCCCTTCTCCCCTATTTCCATCCCGTTTCCTGTTAAATACTACGATGGAAAAGTGCAAGTTGCCTTAGCAACTCAGGATGGTTTATAGTCTATGTGTGATTATTTAATGTCTCTCAACCCAATGACAAATAGGGACCTGACCTCCAGCACAGTCCCTGGTCCAGGGTGAGTCCCCAGTAAATATCTGTTGAAGAACAGATCGTTACAATTACACACAGTAATTTTAAGTACGTAGAGAAAGATAATACCATCTTTCATTGATTGTAAGATTTTTTTTAATATACTTGAAATCAAACTGCATACTACAATCAATGGCATGTCAGCTTAAGTGGCAATACCTTTTCTTTCTTAGTAGTACGTCTTTCAATTAATTGCGTCTTAGATTCAATGAAGTAAGGCACTTGGAAAGGCAGTAATATACTGATACTGCATCCACAGGATCACATACCTAACAAGGAACAAGTTTAAAATTTTAGCAGTCAAGGTCAAAGCAGAAGATGGTTGAGTAAATGACAGTGTTAAGATAGGAAAATCACAACTCTTCCGGAAGACTACTTCTGTAGAAAGTAAGGGGACAAAAATATTAGCGTGGTACACATGGTACCAAAAGCAAAACAAGCAAATAGCTGTTTCTTGCTTCTGGAACTGATGATCACTGGTAGCTAAGTTGTCGGGACAGGTTAGACTCCACACAGGGTCTCTGTCAGGATCTGAAATTACCTCTCCTTTTAGCTACTGAAGCAGCGGTCCGTGCTCTTCAATACTCTGTTTCCAAAACAAGTGTGGCACATAGCCAGGTAGATGGGAAGAGTCTACGTTCTAATAGATGGTGGAGCATCTATGCCAAAAGATTCCAGCGCTCACTAAATTCCAAAGAAAATACTGTAATGCTAAGGAAAGAGCTCCCTTCCTGGCATTTGAATAACCAGGATCTACAGCAGTCAATTCCACCTCAGTTAACAGCTACATACCAAACTAGAAATCTAAAGAACTCTTCTATAGCATTAATCACCATGTACCATAGTCCCAAGCTTGAGAAAATGGGGATATAAACAAACGGTGATATCATTATCTTGGTGTGCTTCTAGGCTACTTAAAGTGGCAGGACAATGAAGACCTTAAAAAGAGGTAAAAAAGACATCCCTTTTCTCATTATACCCTGTAAAACTATGTGCTCCCACCCTCCCAAATAACTCACATGCACTATTTTTAGTAAGTAGCATATGGTTAAGTTCTGGTACTCTGATGTTTTGAAA